TATGGCTCCAGAAGCTTTTGTCATGGTTCTCTAGCCTCTTTTGAGGATAGTGGAGTTATTGAGCAATTTGGTTTGATCCAAGTTGCTTGATGAGCTGTGACAAAAGCATCTCTGATGCCTTTCTACTTTCTGGTTTTTATAGCGAATTCCCAGATAAGATGCTGAGACGGTTTTAATATGTTATGCTTTTTAAGTTATCTTTTATCCTTCATTATCCTCCCTTTATCATTTTGGTTTGAGTTGTGTTCATTGCAAGGTGTTCTTCTCTGTGTCATTGGAGATTTGCCATTGCTGAACTGTTGCTTTGATTGTCTATGCATTTTTCAAATGAGTTTCTTATACGTTTAGATTTTGTATTTTTTCTATTCGAGTCTTTCCCCATAGTTGTGGGATCTCTTAAAGACAGGTGACAGTGTCATTTCATTCATGGTCCAGTGTAAATACCAGCTATACCTAAGATGTAACTTAAGACTTTCATCTTGTTCATTGTGCAATGACCAAGAATGATCAGACGTCATTTCTTTAATCTAACGCACATCTTGATTATTCTATCCTAACTTCTTTGGTATTCGTTTCATTATGTGTATCATTTGAGGCTGGCCTCATTCATTTATTGAAAACTTTAAGTTTAACCGAGATAGACCAAGTGAGCATCATGAAATCCAGTTTCATGAAACCCCACACCTAAAAAGAGGTGGAATCACATACTTGTTAAAAGAGTTAAGTCTTGAGTTTGTATTGTCTTCAATTGAATTTCTTAAATGTTTCTCTTGTTTATGTGTGATTTATAATTTGCAGAATCTATCCTCCCCAGTTCGATTCAATTTCTCAGGCACTATGCTTCAATTTTACATGACAATTTGAGAAATTGTTTCTTCCATTGATCTATACACAGCTGTTGTGGGGTTTTTACTTGCTCAAAACTGTTTGGTTCTTTGTACAGAAAGCGTGTATCAATTTTATCCACCATTTTGTTTTTCTTGTCCTCTTATATCCCAACAAGCTTTAGCTAATCTAAAGACTATCAAAATAGTACTTTTCAGTTTCATTTTAATTGTTGTTTTAATCCTTTTTACATCCATTAAGAAAATAATAAATACAAGGTATAATTATTTTGAGTTATCCTAATTCTTACCTGTTTCTCTTTTTGGAGCATCGAGCAATACTTTTTTTAAAAAAAGAACTACTTTAATGTTAAAGGGTATAATTGAAAACAATTGCTATATTTTTAATCTTGAAGTTCTCAAGTAACAATTATTTTGGGACAATTTTGAGCTAAAATACAGATAGCGGGATGAGTAATTGCAAAATTCATACCAACATGAGTTGTAATTGTGGTGAAATAGTTAAAATTTCTTCAACTTTTAAAAAGTATTACCCTAAATATGAACACTACAATACGTGAATCCAAATTTAATTGAATGTCAATAGGAAGAAAACTTAACCTCAGTAGAAGGTTGTTACACAAATCTAAGCTAAATTTATCACAGTCCCCAAAAGTACATAAACAAAAACTAAAAGAAAAACCAAATTAAGTACTCTTTTTTTTCCAAGTTAGAATCAAGCAGCCTTTGCTGTACAAGACAAACAAAGACCACAAAGAAGAGCAACAATAAGATCTAAATCAGTTTCATTTATTTTCTCCCTAAACTCTCTTTCATTGCTTCTCACTTCATCTGTTTTCCATTTTCCTCCCATTTGAACTCTTAGCTTTTTCATAGCCTCCCTTCTTCCAATGTGATCCGTCATCCTACAATTTGAACAGAAGAAAATAATCTTATAATCATACGCGAATCAAATATACTATAAAGTCATAATTCCAAAAGTACAATAAGGCTAAATGCTGAAAACTATAATGATTGAACTCAACAAATTTAAATCCGGAATTTATCTCTTCAACTGATATACAGATTTCAGTTCAAATAAACTATCTAGAATCTAGACATATGAAAAATACAATTAGATCTCTCCAAACATTTCACTAATTTATCATGTTTTTGAAACTAATGTTTAGTCTATATTATATATATTATATGTTTTTTCTATAATAACATTTCACTATACAAACTAGGAATATATAGACAAACAGCTAAATATTTACAAAACCTATACATTTAACCAAAAAAAAATGCAATAAATATTCAAAAAGAACTATATTTTAACGACATAGTTACTAGCACTTGATATCGTTATCCTACGATTTAAATCCATAAAATTTAAATCTTAAACCATTCACTATAGAAGCCAGAAATATATAATACACTTTAACCAAAAAAAAACTATACTAAATATTCACAAAAAGATACATTTGACAACGCTATCCTGGGATTCAGAATTCATAAAATTTAAATTTTGAATTCGAGAAAAATTACTCTTTGGATAGAGGAAGAGGACGTGTGATCCCTGCAAGACAAATTGGGAGTCCATTATTTGCTTGATGATTTAAATTGGATGATGACATTTTATTTTTTTTCTTGAAAGAGAAGATGGAATTTTTTTTCTTAGATTTAAAGATAGAGAAGGAACGAAAAATTAACAGGAGAGAAAAAACAGAGAGGAAGGTAAAGGCATTAAAAGCAGATATAAAGGACCTTTCATTTTCTTTACTTATAGTGGGTACGAAAGGAAATAGTTTATATTAGTTATGTAGATATTATGACAGGATAATTAAGATTTTTCATTTTTAACGAGAGATTTTAAGTTTGAATTTTTTAGAAGGGATAATGCTCAAGTACCCGCTTAACCTATGCCCGAAATCTCAGAGACACACTTATACTATACTAAGGTCCTATTACCACTGAACTTATTTTATTAATAATTTTTTACCCCTTTTTAGCCTACGTGGCAATATCTTGTGGGCCCAACGATGATTGATTTTTTTTTC